ATTTTCAATGGTGTGATTGCATTGCAATTTCATCATAAGAGTGAAAAATAATATTATATTTTGTAGTTTCGGTCATAAAATTATTTTTTGTCATTTCATTCACCAGCCAGTGATCGATATATAGTTTATGTTCACTGTGTTTAACACTTTTTAATAATTCATTCATGCTATTAATGAGTTATATAATTGTTATATAAAATTGTTGCAATTTCTATCATAGATACAGTATTTCTATTGTAAAGCCTTAGTGTATGCAATAGTGTTGTGTATATTTTATGGACATATAATGTGTATTATAAAAGCCTTGAAATTGACGAGATTTTTGTAGGAATTATTGAATTGTGTGTAGTTTCGGTAAATAATTATATATATACTGTATATATACAGTACTTTCTTTTATTGACATTAAATACAGCGATATATTAAACCGTTAATGTATTTCTTACAAACCAAACCTATGTTGTATGACAAACACAATTGTGTGACACGAATGCCATATACTCTGATAATAACAGAATATTTCAAAAGTTGTTGTATTCATAAACATTAGTTTATAAAAATTAATTAATAACTAGTGAATCGCGAATTCATCGACTGTTTGAGATTTAACCGGTTATTGTGAGCCCTCGGGAGTGCATTGAGTGATATTTGACGTAAAGATTATAATCGCAAAACTTGTTAACAAACTATAAAATGACGGATAAAGAGACGGGTAAAATATGCGGCGTTTGTGGCGACAAAGCTATCGGTATTTAAAAAAATTTTACACTTTGTAGCTATACCTCGAAATTCAGGTTAAAATAACTTATAATATATTAAATGACAAATAAATTAGTATATGTTTATCGGATCCCTGATAAACTCATTGACAATATTATATAACAAATAAATGAAAGTTATTTCCTTATACTGGTTTAAACAAACAAATGTTAGTAATAGTGATAAAAATGTTGTTTAAAAATAGGTGCATAAAAATATGCATATGTTTTTCATATAATAATAATTCATTTCATAATTATATTTATTTAGCGAAAAACTTTGGCGCCGTTTCCTGCGAGTCGTGTAAAGCCTTCTTCAGACGAAACGCACACAAACTGACCGTAAATTAAATTGTTTTATCATTATATCCATTAGATTAAGAGTAAAACTACAGAAATGTTCATACATTTTGTGTATATATATCCCAAAATAGGTCTACAAATGCTATTTCGACGAGAAATGCAAATTAGATTCAGTCACCAGAAAGTTCTGCCGCCGCTGTCGACTCCGCAAGTGCTTCGAGATCGGGATGAAACAGGTATTATCACTCATTATCACCGCATATTGGACACGAATTACATGATATCTCCATTGACTCCAGGAGTGGATTCTTAACGACGAGGAAAAACAGGTGCGACGGAAGAAGATTGAGGAGAAACGGAGCAAAAAACGCAAGAATTCGGTCCAAAGCTCGTCGTCGGAGACAAAGTCGACGTCGGAC